TTCAGCAGATTTCCTTCCTTTTCCTATTTTGCACAATGGATAAATAACAAGGCTGGAAAGAATGCTTGTCAACTTCAATTTTGCTGAACATGTAAATGTTAAAAAAAAAAAAAACTGTAAAAAAAAGCCCTAGACAAATCAGAATATTTCCACAATTTAAGTAAGATTACAAAGATGAACAGATAATTTACAAATAAACCCCGGTAGCCTGCAGAACCAAAATATTTTGTCATGGGGATCCTCCAAGTGGATGAGTTTAGAATAAGAAGTAAAACCTCATTCATGCAGACTTCTGTTGTTCAAATCAAAAGGCATGGAAACACACAAGGCAGCCTTTGGAGGCTTTTATTAGCTGCTGTTTGTGAAAATACAATGCTCAAGTCCTTTGGAGTCCTTCAGGTTTATGTGCCCATGTGGAGCTTTGGGGATTACAATGGAGAACCAGAAGTTTGCTCACCTACTTCAGGATTAGACTCTCAGCCAGCGTGCACAGATTTTACTGGGGAAATAGGCCTCCGAGTTGGACGCATTTTTTCCTTTACCAAGACAGTTTTGACAGTGATACACTGAACTAAATAAACAAAACTTCATTCTCCAGTTATGGCATGTTTCTCTATGGGCATGTAAACAAACTTTACCACTAATCTAATTTAGATGAATATCAGAGCTGATAAGATTTTTACGCTTTTGATTATACTGATAACAGCAAAGCAAGCAACTTGCATATTGACAGTGTTTGAAATCAGATTAACCAGATAAATATATTCACAAAGCTGGTTTGTTAGAGAGAAATCTTCTGATGCTCTTCTGTGGTAGTGAGACATTCATTGGCATCACAATTTCCAGTGATGAGCAATGATAATATCTGTACTAACTGTTTGAAAGGAAATAATAAAGCCAAATTAGATGAGCTGTTCTGACAGACTAAACAAAGAGAAGTACAGGTATGGGGATTGATCCGTTTTTAGTGCCAAACTGGAGATTTTTCATCAAGGATAATATCGTGTCAGTTATCTCACCAGTGGGAGTCAAGTAACATTTCTTTGTTCAATTTATTAAACTGAATTTTGAAGTGTAAGGAGCATTTATCTTTTTGAATGAATTGAAATTCTGTATTTCTAGTTGTAATGGTTCTTTGTGGCTTCAGTAGTGAACGTGGTTATAGCTCTAGAAAGTGGTGTCATTTTTGCCATTGGTGTTGAGGGAGCCAAGAGACAGAGTATAAATCAATTTACAGCCTGTTTAAAAGTGGGGAACAAAATGCATAAACCTTAACTCAGAAACTGCTTCAGATTATTATTATTTTATGATTAAGTAAAGTGGGGAGAAGGAGGAGGTTTCAGTGTTAGCATGATAAAATTCCTAGCTTTTAACAAACTGTCTGGTTTCAGTGTTTATTCAGTACATTACACATACACGGAACTATACAGCAAGGGGAAGGTCACTCGATTAATCCTTGCTCCAAAGGTGTAAGTGGATATGATCACATGCAACACAAAACTAATAGATATTGATTAGTGTGACAATGCTTCACTGAACAGATGTCTCTTGAAGGGAGAGTGGAAGCAGTTTGGTACTAGAGGTTTTCTTTGTCTTCTCCTCTCATGGTAAGGTAAACCAGGACCTGACCAGAGCGTTCCATGCTGACTGTGGTATGAAACGCCCCTAATACCAACCTGGCTCAAACAGTACTGTAAGAGAAAAACATTTAGTGAAGTCCATACATCCCCTGGACCTCTCAAGATGTCTCAGTGTACCCCAGTGCCAAGGCAAGGTTCTCCCAGCCTGTGGTCATGAGTCACTGCTGGGCATACTTAGCCCCTCCAGCATACCTATCTTCCAAAACTGGTTCCTTTCAGGGTCACAAAATGCTCCTACAAAACCAGAAATTAATCTGTTTTGTCCCCAAGGGCTGTTTATAGCTCTGGCCAGACTCAAAATTCATGCAGTTAAGAAGACAACCATTGCATATCTGGTCAATGGAATAGGACCAACTAATGCTTCTCTGTGCCCTGAGACTTCTGTAGAGAATAAAGAGATGCTTGTTTGGTTGAGGGCTGAGGCATTCAAGAAGGTCACACAGGGATGCATGGTCAACCCTGATGGACATAGCTTTTGAAACCAATTTGATCTCACAGGTCTCAGCTTCCCCCATGTCTGGATCCATACATGTGGAAACCAAACCACAAAGGGATAAAAGTGTGAAAAACATTAATCCCTCTGATTTTTTGGAAGGAGACAGCATCAAGCATGAGGATAATGTGAAATCCTTGATCAGGCAACAAGGAAGGAATGCCAACAGAGAGAATACAGAGAGCAGATAGCTGATGCAAGGGAATCAGATATATCAGTTGTAATGACTTCCATGACGTATCTCAGTGAATCAGAATGTCTTGATCCTGGTGAATGTGCACTTCTGAATCTGAAATTTCCTTCTAAGGCTTTGTTGTGGTAGCAAAACCTAGTGAAGATTTTGGTGAAACACCCTATCATAGCCTCAAAGAGAGGCCTTCTGCTGAACTCACCAGGGCCAAACCAGTAGGAAACTGGAGGGAAAAGAGAATTATGTTACATGTGCTTGGGGAGATCTGGGGTGTGGTGACCACAAGTGTTCCTCCTCCAGTAACTCCAGTTCCTCCTTCAGTAACTCCCATAGCTATCTGCTGAGACCTCAGGTAGCAAACCTACTTCAGCACAGGTATTGCTCAATGCTTAAGCTTATGACCATGTTTAGGCCTTTTTTTGTCCCTCCTAATCCCTAGAATTTGGAAATGGTGACATTTTCCCATACAACCTCTAGCTGCTGTCTCTGTTGTTTGTCTGTCTGTGTCACTGGACTAATCAAAGCCTTGACAGCTTCAAGAGAAGCATCACAAGTGAGTGTGTCTGGAAATTCTAGTTAATCACAGGGGCTTTTTTTGCCCTTTCAGGGCAATGGCAGAGATGAAAACTGATAGAAACCAGAGAGCCTGAGTTAATAGTTGTGATTAACTCTGCATCTTCTGCTTGAATACAAGGATGAAGGAGGGCAGGGAGATGGAGCTCAAAAATCATGCAAGACTCTTAGGAGATGGCTGATTCAGCAAAACACAGATTTCTCAGCCTCTGCAGTCAAGGCTGACTCAGCTTAGCACAGAGGCTAAGTAGGCCCATAATTTTACTTGTGACAAATACCCTCCTCTTCATTGAGACGACTCATGCCCTTGCTGTTGCTTAACTCCTTTGTGGGTTGTGAACCACCTCTCAGTCAAGTCATCTGGTTACTGCATACTCTCCTTTGAAATTCCCACATTGTGAAGGTAGGTACTTTCAATAATGAACACTCTTGGGGCTGTGTCACATGAGATCTTGTGCCTTTTAAATGCAGATGACAGGTTACTAAAAATGTTTCTCTCCACGTAGCATTTTTTTTTGCAGTGCTGCTATGTGCTGCATATGCCTGTGAAATATTTTATCTGATTTAAGTTTATTATCTGGCCCAAGAAGAAAAAGGAACACCTTGAGTTTTGGTTATCACATTTCATCAAACAATCCTGTGAACATGTTAAACAGATTGACAGTTATAGTTAAATATAATTGCGTATTGTGAATTCACTAGTTTAGTTTTGTAAGACTTGTTTAGTTTTGTAAAGTTCAGTTTTGTAAAGACATAAGCATTCCATTTCCTGTTACTTTCACGCCAAGTATGACACTGACCTCTGCACTCTGACAGAATTCTTATTCAGAATTTCAGTGGAACATCATTGTTGCTGTTAAGTTGTACCTGTATTTTTGTCAAAATCTGTTTTGCTCAAAATTCTTCAAAACTCTTTGGCTCCATTCTGGATCTTCATTTTTCTGTAGCCTAATAGTTGAAAGTTTTTTGGGTTGCAGTTGCAGCATAAGCACAGATGTTACAGAATGAACAGGCTTTATTCCTGTTCAGACTGAAATCTGCAAAGTCTATGTGTTCCTTCAATGCAAGGAGTTTCATGTGTTTTATTTTTTGGTATGAGAGGATAGTGCGCGTATCTGCAGCCTGTCACTTTTGAGTCATCACTCATTTTACTCAATTGTTCGTAATGAGGCAAGGTAGCTCATTTTGGTGGGTGATACAGGAGAGATGCTGTATAAATTGGCAAAAAAACCCAGGAAAACTCAGTCACAGTCCTTAAGTATTAGTCACAGAGAACACAGCTATTTCTCTGCTTTACCTTATCCTTCTGAATGGATTGTGGAACTTAGATGTAATGAATAAACGCCATGTATTTGACCTCTGCCCTCGCCCGATATTCCAGGGAAATAATTTTTGCTCCTAGACCGGTGCAGCCGAGACCTGTCCTTGGTGTGGAGCTGTCTCTTCATCGTCGTTTCCTTATTCCCTCCCTAGGACCAGGAATGCACCGGGATGGCCACGGAGCAACCGGGAAATAATTACAAAACACATCTCTGGAAAAGAGGACGAGGAAATGAAATCAGAGGGCTCCGCCGCCTTTCGGGAAAGGGAAAAATACTTATAAATCCCTGAGCAGATGGTGAGTGTAAACACACCGGAGGGAGCTGAACTCCTCCCGGGGGGAACTCGGACTTTCTCCTCTCGCCTGAGGAGGCCGGGGAGCTGCTCCGCCCGGGGACACACGGACAGACACGGGGAAGCGCACACACACAGCGGCACAGATTACAGACTCTGTATCATCCCTTGCACACACACAGGGACCGAGGCACCCCGCTCCGCGGAGCCCGCGCCCCGCACCGGCACACGGGCGAAGCGCCGCCCCGGCCCGCCCCCGCATCCCTCCCTCCTCTCTGCCGCCCTCCCTCCTCCCCGCCCGCCGCGCACATACACACACACACGCACACACACACACCGGCCGCAACATGACGGGCGGGCGGACGGACTGACAGACCGGGGCACGGCCGCTCCGCACGGATTATTCTCCCCGCGCCGGGGCGACGCGGCGGAGCAGCGACCCAGCGGGGCGGGGGCGGTGCCGCGCTGCGCTGCCAGGAGGGTCCCAGCCCCCGCCGGCGAGCGGCGAGCGCGTCGGGCGCTGGAGGAGCCCGGCCAGGTAACGCGTCCCTACCGGGTGGTGTCGCCGGCCAGAACCGGGCCAGGCCGCGGGGTCCCGGGTGTGCGGGTGCCCCGGGGCGGCGGGGCCGGGTGGCCCCTCTCGGCAGGTGCCGAGGTGATCCGGCGGGTGTCGCCCCGGGGCGCGGGCGGCCCCCCTGCCTTGGCCTCGCCTTCCGCGCCCGCGGGGCGGTGGCCGCCGGGCGCCCTGCGCCGACCCGCGGCTGCGGCGGTGGGGGCGGCGGAGGCTCGGGACTGCCGGTGCCGCAGCTCCGCGCTGATCCCCGGCAGCCGCGCTCCGAGAGCGCCGGGGATTTGCGAGGGCGGCGCGGGGACAGCGGCACCGGCGGCTTTGTGGCGGGGCGGCCGCAGGTGTCCCCCGGGGCTGGCCCGGCCCGGAGCAGCGGCGGTGCCGCCGGGGTGGCCTGGGGGCAGCGCGCGGCTCGTCGGGCCCGGCCTGGGGGGGCACGGCGCCGGCAGCCGGTGCCCGGTGCCCCGCTGGCCCTCGCTCCGGCCTCGCTGCTGCAGGTGACGGGAAAGAAACCCCATCCTTTTTTTGTTTATTTTTTGGCGTTTCTTCTTTCTGTTCCCCCCCCCCCCCCCCCCCGCGTGTGTGTTAAGCAATCTGGAATTAACCAGGGAAAACGACAAGAAGTGGTTTCAGAACCACTGGGAGTGGGTAGGGCCCGGCCACTGGCGGTCATGTGTGACCTTTGCCAGGGCTTTGGAGACAGGAGCTGGAGGATGCTGCATGTGCTTTCCAAAATCGCATGGCAAGCTTAAAAAGTGGAGCAGATGGTGATGGTAGTGCTTATTATGGAAGAGGTTCATGTAAATCCTTTATTTCCTCTAGACAGTTTTTGTTTTGCTCCTCCTAGTTAAAGAGATTGACTTTTGGCAAGGAAGGGATGTTGCTGCAAGTTGCCTTGCAAAGGGGTTATTTTGCTCTTCCACAGAGAAGGGAACCCCCTTCCCTCCCAGCTTTATGTCTCTGTTTCTCCTTTGGGATTGACAGCAGTAAGTGTCTTGGCATAGACAAACTGCAGTATGCTTTATTTTCTTATTGCACACCTTTATAGTTGAACGTAACTAGAAAGGAGGCTGAGAGTATTCTCTTATCCCTCTCTATGCCAGATGTGTTTTTCTATCTAGTATATATTGTACTTGAAGTGTTAAAGTCTCAGGGGGCACGGAGGTGGGAATGTGAGGCAAGGTCTGCTAGGTACTTCAAACAATTCTCCTTGCTCATACTTAAGAAGGAGAGAAAGGAACATGTTGTAAAAGTAGCTGAGGAATATATAAAAGTGAAATATTAATGAACTGAAAAAGCTCAGATAGCAAAGACGTGCCTAATCATTCAGGAGGGTTCTTGTCCTCTTTACAACATTTCATTGTATGTGTTCTTGTACTACAAATGCAGTTGCTAGAAAGGATGGTAACAGTTGTATTTATTTAGCTGGAAGCAGTAGTAGTACATTTTGGGATTTTTTTGGCATTAGTGATCATCTCTGGAGTAGTTTCCTTTAGCTGTGATTTTTCAGGCTGCTGTAAGAAAGGGAATTATTACAGAAACAGTAAAAAACGCTTCAAGAATGTTTTCTTGGAAATGTAAATGGGAAGGTCTGACTCAGCCCTGGAATAACCCAGAGGAAGAACTAGTCTTGGAAAGTCCTCATAGAGACTTCATGATGACAACTGAGACATTATTAATCTCTTGCATCCCAGAGACCAATGTCCCAAAAATAGGCAGCCCTGTCTGAGGAGAAGGTAATAATACACAACTGTCCAGGGTCTGCTGAAAGTGAGACATAGAAGCAAGGGGTGTTTTCTGCCAGCTGAGGTTCCTTTCCCTCTTTGAGTCTGGAGTGCGGTGGTCCCTGTAGTTTGATTAACTTCCCCAGTTTGGCTTGGAAGGAAACTTAAGTGCAGCAGCTTTTTGCTATGGCTTGGTGAGGGAATTTAGTTCAGTGGGAGAGTCAGCCTGCAGGGTGAAGTCTTGTAACCCTGGCTGTAATCCTGGGCAGGACTTTTTGGAGTAGCTGGTGGCTTGAGTGAGGTCTGCCTTCTGGAGAGCTCAGTGAGGCCTGAGTAGCGCAACAGACACAGGGAGCTGGACCAGGAGGATGAGCTGGAGCAGCACATAGGGCATGTACCATGTCTGACTTACACGAGTTAATGTTTGCTTTTTAAGTCTGTTAGTCACAGAAGATGCTGAAAAAGCATCTTGTATCCTCAGGTCTGTGCATGTGGTTGTGATCGTGAGAGCACGATCTCATGTTAGCTGTGTGTGGTTGGATTTCTCCTTTTTCATTCAAACCTAATGTCACATGAGCCTTTAAAGTTGACATTGAAGAAATATTTCGCAGTGTTCTGGAGCTTTTTTTGGTTTTTTTTGCTTGAGTGTTTCATAAACTGAAAGGGAGATGTAGAGAAGTTGCTCCATTGGGAAAAATTCCCACTCTTGCATGAAAGTTCATGGAAGATACCATGGCTTTGTTGGATTAGCCCATCTGGAGTACTAGAAAGAATAATGGCCCCTGTATATTTTTTATGATGTTGGGAATTACAGATACAAGTGAGCTATTGAGACAAGTGTTTTGTTACATTAAACTCAATGATAGTTTTTAAAAACCATAAATTTATCTGCATATTCTAGAACCATGATACTTTAATAGTGTTTAATTGGATTGTTTACACTGTAATTTTGGAGGCCTCCTAATAAAAGGAGGCCTCCTTTTACCTATTTATCTTCCCCTGAGGCAAGGGAAGAAGTGAATGTTGCACTGTGATTTTTCTGAGGTTGATTGACACTACTAAAGCACGACATGAAATAACATTCTTGTGTCAGTGAACATATCAATGGAAATGAAGCCCTATGAACACTTAGTGAAATGAAATAGCTACCAGCTTGTTGTGGTGAGGAGCTGAGCTACATCTATCTTCTTCTAAGAAGTTACTCTGCTGTAAGTTTCAGTGCCTCAGGTCTTCCCCTGGAGGACAGTTTTGCTGCAGTTGGAGGGGCTCATCATCAGGTGGGAGGGAGGGAAACAAAAGGAAATACACACATAAATAATGGCAAATAGGGGCTGGGTTTGTTTCCTGTAGTTTCTTCTGGTTTTTCCTCTCAATATTGCCTTTATTTGGCAGTTTTCTGCCGTGACAGTAAACTGGGTTACCTTGATAAAGTAAATATGCTTTTGTATTAGACTTTAGCTAAGGAGTGTACTGGCTGTGTGAGATGCCATGTAAAATAACAGAACTTGAAAGTACCTAAAATGTACATTGCCATTTGTACTGGTAAGATTTCATGTGTATTCCTGTGCTTTAGCAAGGGCCTGTAACTTTAAGAGTATGGAAGATGCAGCTGTATATTTTACAGGCATCAGTAGTAAACCCCTATAGCTGTTTGGTAGTTAAATGTGTGGTTACTTTTACTTGCTGCTTCTTGACTTGTTCTCACTGCACTACATAGTGGGCTATGTTGGTTAGATAACACAAACTCACTCCATGTTTGAAGGCTGTAGTATCATTTGTCTATTGTATGGCAGTGAAATGATAATAATAGTAATAATAGTAGTAGTAGTAATAATGCTTTCTATGAAGTCTCCCTTTAGCTGAAATGTGACTGACAGAGGATAGTTGGTTTATAGCAAGGGAAAGGAAGCTACAAGCAGGCAATAAGTAAAAGTAGTAAAGTCCTGGATGTGGAAGAAGATTGTTATTAAATGTGCATTGTAGTCTTGTTGCATATGTTTTGTAATTGCGCAAAAAGTAAAACTACACTGTTAAGCGGGATTACCAGATCTGAGTGATGATGGTTTTGTATCCAAACACTGTATGTTACTTACACATGGTGCTATGTTTTTTGCCCTGATTATTGCTATGAAGGCCCACATGAGTGTTGAAGTATGGATGTGTAGTTCTTTTCCTCATAGTTGGGACATTGAAGCAGCGGTGTGTGGAAGTCACACAGCTGATTTGTGATAAAGACTGTTGAACTGGAATATGCATCCCAAGTCCCAGAGCCTTATCTTAATGGATTAATTGTATTTATATAGTTTGTTTGATAAGCTGGCATAGATGTGGAAACTTTTTACAGATCCAATTACAGAATTGTGTGTAAAGTTATGCAGCAATTTCTCAATAAAGACTAATTACTATCAGGTGATATTTTTTTTCAGTCTAGGCAAAAGAGCTTTTCCTGGATTTTTTTTGTTGTTAAGTTTGAGAGAAAGCAGTTCTGCACTCGTAGAATGTAATGATGCTTTTACATTATTTAAGGAAATACCACTTAATTTTTTATAGTGCTCTAACATATCAGGAATTTGAGATCTGGCTCAGTCAGTAATGCTTCTGAGGATCACAGCTGTTTTCCACTGTGTAGAACCAGTTGTGTCAGACTGGTAGGAAGCTTGTAAAAACACTCCTTTATAAATTTTGGTAGTGCAAATCATTGCTTCTGAAAGTATATTGTTTGGTTCTAGTGCGTATCCAACTGTGACATCTTTTTGCTTATTTCATGCTTGTTTTTGGGCTCCTTTACTGATCCTATTTTCATGTGCCATGTTTATGTGATATCTTTAAACATTTTAATAAGAAAATAACAGCTCTAAGTGATGTACTCATTTTGAATAGTACTGTTCGATTTAAATTTGGGTGGGGATAGAAGTATTCAACAGGTTTCTCATCAGTGTGTTGCTTGTGGCATAGTCCAAACCTTATAATTTGCCTCCGAAGCAGCGACATCTGTTCAGATGTCACCTCCCAGTGATGTTAAACTGTCACTGTGTGCCATGCCAGCCAAATCTCGCACTGAGAGAAAGATGGAGTCACCCAGTACCTCCAAAATATGGTCAGAGAGAGAGGTGCGCTGTGCTCATGTGGCAGGCTCTGCCTACTCTTCCAATATCCAAATTCACAACAGTTTGTGCTTTGTGTTTTGTTCTGTGTGCTAGGTACTAACTGAAAATTCTAGAGTGTCTTCTAGATTTGATATAGTGC